GGATGAAATACAAAATGACTGAAACAGAAACTGGATTAAAATGTGAAATGGAATATGGATTTGAACAGGATATGGAATAGAAAATTGAATGGGATGGAAATCAACATACAAAGAGAAATAGAATGGGATGGAAAATGGAAATAAATATCTACTGTCACCTGGAATCAAAGAAAAATATGTTATAGGAAAAGAAGAATGAAATGGAGTATAGTGTGAAATAAAATAATTTTTAAGTGGAAGGAAATCAAAATAGGAATATAGAACAGAATGTGCAATGGGCTAAAATAAAAGGACTATGAAATATGAACTATAGATTTTTAAATACCGGGAAAAAAATGCTATGATATTTGGAATGAAATATAGAATATAAGTGTGTAAAGCAGCAGTTTTGAACTATTCCTTGTGGAAAACAATCCTCTCATGAACCCAGGGAGTGGGAGGGGTGTGATTGATTCTGGGATGACCCAAGTGCACCACATACACTGTGCACCTCATTTCTACCACCACACATTGCAATATACAATGAAACAATCACATAACAATAGAGTTTTCTCTTCCATGATAATCCAATACTGCAACTGATCCAAAAAGAGGTGGCGATGCAAAGGATGGGAAGTGCAAACATAGATGAAGCCTTGCTCACCTCTGCCCACCTCCTGGACAACAGGCCATGGACCAGCACCTGTATGCAGCCTGGTCTCCAACAAGCCACAGGCTGGCACCAGTCCAAGGTCCAGGGGTTATGAACCCCTGGTGTAAAGTATGGAATAAAAATGGAATATGGAAAATGAAGTATCATTTAAATTCAGGATGGACATAAATAAGACTAAATGAATAAAATATGTCATCTGCTACTTCACAGTTTAGTATCATGGAACAACATCCAGTTTATTATTCTCATGGACTTAGAAAAACTCAAATTCAAACAGACCACAGTGGGGATGGCTTGTCTATGCTCTGCAATATCTGGGACCTCAGCTGGGAAACGTGAATGGCTGTGAGGTCATGAGGGAAGGACAGCAGGAAGTGATGACTCCTAGATTTTGGCTCCATATACTGACACAGGTGAAACTTAGTTGAGATAAGGAAGACATTGGACATGAATGATTTTGCTATGACCATGTTGACCACTACACCCTGGAGAGAGAGAAAAGAGAGCTAGAGAGAGAGATAGAGAGGAAGTGAGAAAGCAAGCTGCCAGATCTGGGACTTAAACTGTGGTTGGCCATATGGGTGTCCGGCACCCTTAACCATTACGCTACCTGCCAGCCTCACTATTTGCATTTTAAAGAACATTTTTTGAGAGGTTTTTGCTATAGGGTGTGTGCACTCGCCAGACAGACAGAGAGAGACAGAGAGACAGAAAGCAAGAAATCACCCCCCAGGGTAGATGGCTACACCACAATCCCTTCTCCCCCATTTTCCTCTTGGGATCTTGGGCATGCACGCACACAAACCTGGTGTGAATTTAAACCACTGGGTCTGAGACTCAAACTGCGGTCAACTATGTGCGAGTCCAGCGACATAGCCATTACACTAACTGCTGGTCCCTAAAGAACAAATTTTTTAAATATTAAGTTGTTGTGAAGAAATAAGCTCTCTCACTGGGTCATTACAAATTCATACCACCTATCCAGAAAACAATCCTTTTGGAGAGATTTTTGCAATAGGGCACATGTGCTCACAGTAGAGACAGAAAAATGGAGAGAAAGTGAGAAATCACCCCCAGTGGGGATGGTCATGCCATAATCCCTTCTCCTTCATTCTCCTCTTGGGATTTTGGGCACACAGGCACACATGCTTGGTATGAGTTTCAAGTTGCCATTGCTGGGAATTGGACAATGGTCACCCATGTGGGAGTCCAGCACCTTAATCACTACACCACCTGCTAGCCCCTAAAAGACAATTTTATCATATGACAATATAGTAAAAAAATATTACATAAAATCCATGGCACCAGTCCAAGGTCCAGGGGTTATGAACCCCTGGTGTAAAGTATGGAATAAGAATGGAATATGGAAAATGAAGTATCATTTTCTTTTCTAGGCATGAACTCTATAAAAATACTCATATATACTGACAATCTTATATGCTCAAAATTTATTATTATACTGTCATTTATTTTTAAAAATCTGAAACCACCTCATTTTCCGTAAGATACTTGGTTCCTATAAAATAAACTTATGTAGCCTTTTTTTTTTGAGAGGTTTTTCACT